GTAGCAACTGTAGTAGCATTGCTAGTAGCACTAGTAACACTATGGACACTAGTACACTAGTAGTAGTCTAGAGTCTAGCCAGAAGCAGAAGCGAAAGCAAATGTTGCGGCGCCTGGGGCCCAGTCTGGGTGGCCCAGGGCCGCGGCCTCGGGCCAGCGCCGCTCGCGCGCTTCCCGAACGCGCGCCAGGGGGCGCGCGCGCGGGGGGTGCGAAGGGGTGGAGGGGTTGGGGAGGGGGGGGGGGGGGGGAGGAAAAGGGGGATGGGAAAGGAGAATGGGGGAAAGGGAAAATTTGGGGAGGGGGGGAGGGGGACGGGGGGGAAGGGCCAGGGGTGCAAGGGGGGGGGGGGGGGGGGGGTGGGGGGGAAGGGAAGGGGGGGAGGGGGAAGGGAATCGCCTTCATGTTCCGCCGTTGCTGTCAAGCTTCGCCAAGAAATCCTGCTCCTTCTTCTCGGCCGCAGCCGAACGTCATTGCCAACCAGCCAAGAAAAGAAATAATACGCTTTAACATGCGCGCGAATGGCAAGGCCGCGCTGGGCCACTGGGCCCCTGGGCTTCAGAGAACTGTGGTCTCATCACAAGCCAAACCTCATACTGACGCGGCCGTTGACCCGTGACATTGGTAAACGGATGCTCGGGGAAGACATGTCATGACTCGCACGGGTGTGCTCTTGCTTGCTGTGAACATGTAACATGGGAAACGCGACATGCCGCGAGCGCCGCGCTCGCAGCTGCGACCCGTCACGTGGTGCGCCTTCTTCCGCATTTGATTCTCAGAGCCCCAGAGTGCCGAAACAATGTTGGGGGATAGCGGCTATAGCGCCAGGCCATATTCTATGGCCAGGAACGCACCAAGGGCGGCCCTGGGGCCCTGGGACAAGCTAATTTGCGCGAAATGGCGTTGAACATTCGCCCTGGGGCCCTGGGGCCCTGGCCATGCGCGTCAATTACAAGATCCTCAACCAAAGCCGAACACCTCCCACCCGTTTCGTGGACCCATGGGCGCGCCGTGCGAAAGCTCCAGCAGCGGCGGAGTTCATGGGAAGTTCATCCGAACGCAATGGCCGCATCTTCAACCCAAGACGCCCGCGGAGGACGAGGATGGCGAGGATATGGAGGGAGAGGAGGGGGAGGACGAGGAGGAGGAGTTGGAGGAAGACGACGAAGAGGAGGATGAGGATGAGGAGGAGGAGGAAGGGGAGAGTGGAGTAGGAGGGGGAGGAGGGGGAGGAGGAGGAGGAGGGGGGGAGGAGGAGGAGGAGGAGGAGGAGGGGGTGATCTACGAGCACTCGCTTCCCATGCACCTTTCTGTTGTCATGGCGGGTCGGCAATGATGATCCCATTCCTGCGCTATCAGCCGAGGGTGCTGCACCCGCCTGTGGATTCAGTGAGAATGGATTCTGAGTCATGCCTTCGCGACTTGCCGCAAGAATGAAACATCAGCGCGCGGCTGCGACCGATGCGGCGCGAGCGCGGGGGTGGCGTCCGCGCTCGCTCTGCCGAACCCTGGCTTTTTCTGCGCGCCAAGCGGCCTGGTTGGCAGCGCCAGCCGCGCCGCGCCCGCCGCGGCCGCCGCGGCCGCCACGGGCCGCGGCTGCAATGCCGCGTCTCCCCTTCACGCCAGCGCGCGCTTGGCCCCGAACTACTACCCCACGATGTTATTACGCTACTACGCACTAACGCCGCGCCAACGACATAAACGAAACACACGCGCGGTGAAACGTTACGCAGGCCGCTCGCGAGACGATGCATTGTTTCGCTCGCTCCACGTCGTCGTTGTCGTCGTGCTCCGCCAGCTCGGTGAGCCCCCGATCCTGGGCCGCCTTGTAGAGGGCCGCGCTGCCAGGCGCAAGCAGGGTCTCGATGACGCGACCCCCATCATCTGGACGCCGAGCGCAATGGTCGCCTGGGCCCGCCGCGCGCCCGACGAGGAAGCAGCCCGCGCGCGCCTTCAATTTCGGCTGGCAACGCTCCAAGGCCCGAGGGAACACGGCGCCGTTGAAATCTGCGGCTGCGGCCAATTTGGCCCATGAATTGCGAACGCCACTTGACTTAAGACTTAACCGCTGGATGCGATGGACAAAAATCTCATTCAGCTCATGCGTGCGCCAATCGTGTTCCGCGTTCCGAGCGAACACTTTCTTGATGATGCATGGCGCCCAGGTCACGCTGGCATGGCTCTAGACTCTAGACTCTAGACCTGGGCCGCCTGGCTTTTCACGAAGCCAAGCGCGTCCTCGGCCCGCGGTGCGACGAGCGCTGCGGCTGCGATTGCGGAGCTGGCGCAACTAGTAACTAGTGACCCGCCGTCTCCTCGAGCAGCAGCTCCGTGTCCGCGAAGGACGGGGGGGGGTCCCTGTGCCTGACTCTAACTGCAACTGTAGTGGGAGCCGCCGTGAAATTGACGGTGGCGGCCCCTGCTGCGGCCCCGCTGATGGTGTCTCGTTGCCCCGCCACGGGCGATTGAACTCCTGGTTGATGATGCGTGACCAGGACCTTCATGAACGATGGCATTTGCGCGGCCGCAATCGCCCCCACGTATCCAGGGGGCATGAAGCCGAACTGGGGCTGAAGGTCACTCAAGCCCTTCGCCGCGGGGCGGCCAGGGACCCCGAATGCGGCGACGCAGGAAAGCGGGAAAAGCGCCGAAGGCCCTGCGAAGCTCAATTCCGAAGAAATTGACAATGAATGGCCTCGCGACATCGTTGTGGCGCCCACAGTGACTCAGAATTCGCGAACCACGGCGGTTGCGACGTGAACGGCGGCGGTGCGAAACGGCGAAGCGACGGCGCCCGCCCTCGCGCTCGCTGGCGCCCCCCTCCCCCCCCCCCACCCCATCCCCCCCACCTCCCCCCCCCCCCCCCCCACCCCACCCTTCCCCGGCGCACCCCCCCCCCCCCCGCGCCCACCTCCAACCCCCGACGCTTGCGCTCGAGACGACGACAGGGAAATTTTACACGCACACCTTTTTTACTGAGCCGCGTGGCAAACACAACTACCCGAATCCGACGACAAAAAGATACAGACAGACCGTAAAGAAAGTGTGGGTTTGTTTTGCGTTATCGAGCGGCTCGCCTTTTCGATGCCCACCCGAGCCCGCAGCCGCAGCTGGCCCGATCGCCGAGAAAGAAGGCCGATGCTCGGCGATCCTCGGTCGAACCCGAGGAGGACGGACAAGCGGGGTTGCGCGACGCCTTCGAGACCCACAAACATGTGCAACGCACCTCACGCTGATCAGTTTCCGAGCGGAACGCGAACAACGCAACAATGCTACGCAAGCCGCAAGCCCTCCGACCAGGGCGGCGCGCCAGGCCGCCAGAGGCCGCGATGGCCCCAAAGGAACGCCCAGGGCCCAGGGGCCCAGGGGCCCAGGGTCCAGGGCCCAGAAAGAACCCCAAGACTAAGTGACTCGGCCCAAAGGCCCAAGGCTCCAAGAGGCACCCAACAAGCCCCAAAACTTCTCCAAGAGCATCCGTCCAAGAGCCCAAGAGTCAGAGCCATCCGAGTCCCAGGAAAAAAAAGCCACGCGTGCTTCCATTGTTGCGGCAAGAAGCAAGAGCTGCGCCGCGTCGTGTTGTTCTGCCCCGGCGGCTTTGGCGGCGGGACGGCCGAATATAATACGCCCGCAAGACGTGCCCAAGGCGCCCCGAGAGCCCCCAAAAGGCACCCAAGCGGTTTGGAGCGCGCCCAAAGACGGCACGCGCGGTACTCCAAGACGGCGTTAGGTTAGGCGCACGATGCACCCAGGGCACCCAGGGCCCAGGGGCCCAGAAGGTCACTCCTCCTACTCTGCCTGCCTACCTGGCCGCTGGCCTACCTACTCCTCCTCGTCGTCCTCCCCATCCTGCCCCTGCTCCTCCTCCTGCTCCCCCTCCTCCTCGTCATCCTCGCCCTCCTCCTCCTCATCCTCCCTCCTCCTCCTCCTGCTCACGCTGCATGCAGCTGCTGAGCTGATCCTCCTCCTCCTCCTCCTACCCCCCCCCCCCCCCCCCCTCTTTCCTTTCCTGTCCTCTCCTCTCGCCCTCCTCGCCCTCCTGATCACCGCCCCGCCCGCCTCCTCCGCCTTCCCCCCCCTCCTCCTCCTCCCATTCCCCCACACGCGCCACCACGCTCGCCACCGAAAGGGGGAGGAGGAGGAGGAGGAGGAGGAGGAGGAGGAGGAGGAGGGGGGAGGAGGGCGAGGGCGAGGAGGAGGAACAGAAGTTGCATGAGGAGGGAGGAAGCATCACAACGGGAGGGGAGAAGAGATGGCGGGGGCGGAGGGAGGGAGGGGGAGGGGCGGGAGCGAGGGGGGGAGGGAGGGAGGGAGGGAGAGCGAGGGAGGGGGGAGGGAGGGAGGGAGGGTGGGAGGAGGAGGCGAAGGAGGAGGAAACACCACGTGTAAGTGGGCGCGAAAAGTTCGATGACCGAGCGAGCAACGAGAAAGGGAAATGTGCGCCGAGGGGGGAGAGGAGGAGGTGAAGGAGGAATCGCATTCACAGCAACTGAGCGTTTCGAGTAACGCGCGACGCGCGTGAATTTAAACCGCGAGAAGGCAGGGCAACGGCAGTGACACCAAGAGAAACCGAGCAAATAAAGGATATGTTCTAGATTCTAGATTCTAGTATGTTCTATTGTAATAAGTAGACAGAGGCGCAGCACATGAACCGTCAAGAACAACAAATGCGCGCAGCATTACGTGACGGTGCGCTTACATATGGCAACACATGATGCGTGACAATCGTAGGCCGTAGGCGGCATGTTCAGGGGATGGCGTGAATGCGATTTGGCGCTGGTTTACGTTGCGTGCGTTGGTTGGTTGGCGCGTTGCTTTGGCATGTTAGTGTTAGTGGGTGTGTGGTCCAACCGAGTCCTTCCCGCAGCCCTCTCCCGCCGCCCTCCCGCCCGTCCCCTTTCCCCGTTCGTTCGCTGCCCCCTCCCTCATGAAACTGGCGGCCTGCGGCAGGCGGCCGAAAGGAGCAGCAGCGGTAACGGCAACAGGGCGACGCTTCAAGGGGCAACCTCGGGCTCCTCGCCCTCGTCGTCGCGGGCGTCCCGCTCCAGCTCAAAGAGATCTGCGGAGCCCGCTGTGTCATTCAGCAGAATCCTGCCCCACGCGCGACTGTCTCTATCAGGATGGGCATTCTTGTTGCAGCGAGAGGCCTTGTCACCGTGGGCGTGCGCATCCTCGAGCCACGCCGCCAGCAGGCCGAGCGGCCGCCCCTGCGACGGCCGCTTGCCAGGGCGACCAGCGCGCGTGAGCGTGCACCTCACGTCGCCGTAGCCGTGGAAGTCGCAGTAGGCAACGAAGTCGCGAGACGCGTCATAGTAGCGGATGCCGCCGTGTCCGAACGGCACGATCACACGAGCACGTCCTACGGCTGGCGGCCGGTGGCGGAGGAAAACCTTAGCCTGGCGAAAGACCCAACCATATGCAGTTGTAAATCACGCAGTTGTGAATATCGTCTTCGGTGGAGCTCCCTATGACCCTATGAGCAACGAAACGTGTGAGGGGTGTGCCGAAATGAATGGCTGAGACGCGTGCGGACTGCGCCACTGGGCAGGGGTCCTATGGGCCACGAAGCGCGTGAGGGGTGTGCCGAAATGAATGGCGGGGACGCACGCGGACTGTGCCACTGGGACCTTCGGCGAACCAACGTGTGAGGGGTGTGCCGAAATGAATGGCGGGGACGCATGCGGACTGCGCCGTTGGGACCTTCGGCGGACCTCCTATGGGACAGCGAAACGTGTGAGGGGTGTGCCGAAATGAATGGCGGGGACGCATGCGGACTGTGCCGTTGGGACCGTCGGCGGAGCTTCTATGTCCTATAGGACCACGAAGCGTGTGAGGGGTGTGCCGAAATTAATGGCGGGGGCGCATGCGGACTGTGCCATTGGGACCTTCGGCGGAGCTCCTATGTCCTATGGGGCCACGAAACGTGTGAGGTGTGTGCCGAAATGGGTGGCGGATTGTGCCACTGGGACCTTCGGCGGAGCTGGGGCCACGAAACGTGTGATGGGCGTGCGTGTGCCGATATGAGTGGCGGGGACGCATGCGGATTGTGCCATTGGGACCTTCGGCGGAGCCCCGATGGAGCCACGGAACGTGTGAGGGGTGTGCCGAAATGAGTGGCGGGGACGCATGCGGACTGTGCCACTGGGACCTTCGGCGGAGCTCCTATGGGGCCACGAAGCGGCGTGCCGAAATGAGTGGCGGGGGCGCATGCGGACTGTGCCACTGGGACCTTCGGCGGAGCTCCTGTGAGGGGTGTGCCGACATGAATGGCGGGGACGCATGCGGACTGTGCTACTGGGACCTTCGGCGGACCTCCTATGTGGTGGCCACGAAACGCGTGGGGGTGTGACGATGACGATGATGATGATGATTCTGATGATGATGATGATGATGATGACGTTGATGATGACGATGATGGTGGTGATGATGATGATGATGATGAGGATGATGCTGATGCTGATGATGATGATGATGATGATGATGGGAGGAGGGAGGAGGAGAGGAGGAGTGGAGGGGGAGAGGAGACGCGGGCCACCGTCTCTTCAAAACGAGGACCCAACACCACAGGACGGTTGGGAATTAGCCTGACGAAGGACCCAACCAAATGCAGTTGCGCATTCCGCAATTGACAATATCCTTTTCGGTGGAGCTCCTTCCACGAAACGTGTGAGGGGCGTGCCGAAGCAGGCGTGGTGGAGGCACGCGGGTGCGGGCAGTGAGCTTTGAGCCCACCCACCCACCACTCACCCACCACCCACCCACCACCCACCACCCACCCACCACACACTCACCACCCACACCCACCACCTACCTACCCACCCCACCACCCACCCGCCAACCCACCCACCACCCACCAACGACCGACCCACCACCCATACACCACCTACAAGGACCTACCAACCATCCACCACGCACCTACCTACCTACCAGGACCTACCACGCACCCATCACGCACACCCGCCACCCACCCACCACCTACCTACCCATACCCACCACCCCCCACCCACCCACCACCCACCAACCCACCCACCAAGCCACCTACCCAAGCCGCTCCCAGGGTCCCAGCACCCACCACTCACCCATCACCCACCCACCACCCACCCACCACCCACCCACCACCCACACCCACCACCCACCCACCATCCACCTTCCCATCATCCACCCACGACCCATCCACCACCCACCCACCTAACCCAACCACCACCCATAATCTACGCGCCCACCTTAGCTACTAGACTAGGTCCGAGGGACCAAAAGCATTGTTTTTTTTTTGCTGGTTGGAGTGAACGTAAGGTTAAAGGTGAGAGAGAGCGGGTTTCCATAGGGAACAACATTGGGGCGGCTGGAGCCGCTCTCCCCCAAGGAGGGATGCATCCCCTTGACGGGAGGCCGACCGACCGAGGGGCGATGCATCCCTCTGGCCGATCCCCCCCCTTGTAACAGAGGGGAAATGCCTCCCTCATGCGCGACCAACCACGGAGGGGAGATGCATCCCTCATGCGCGAAGTGTCGCGCTCGAGGCTTCGTCGCTTCGCTTACCCTCTTGGCCCCCCCCCAGCTTGCTGAATGCAAACCCAGGGCGGGAGGGTGGGAAAAATCAAATCGCAAGGTGAGCGCGGCCACCGCGGCCCGTCGCCCCCCCTTCCTCGCAGCCCCTCGGCGCGGGCAGCGAAGGGGGGGGGCGCCCCCCCCCTCTCTTCGCCCCTGCGCCCCGAGCTGCATGCGCGGGCGACGTTTCCAAGGTGTCCGCGCGCGTACATTATGAAGCACTCACCCATGCCTGCCCGGGCCTAAAGTGCACCCATAATCTACGCGCCCACCTTAGCTACTAGACTAGGTCCGAGGGACCAAAAGCATTGTTTTTTTTTTTTGCTGGTTGGAGTGAACGTAAGGTTTAAAGGTGAGAGAGAGCGGGTTTCCATAGGGAACAACATTGGGGCGGCTGGAGCCGCTCTCCCCCAAGGAGGGATGCATCCCCTTGACGGGAGGCCGACCGACCGAGGGGCGATGCATCCCTCTGGCCGATCCCCCCAACGCTGCTCACCCCCACGCCCCGCTCGCTCACCCAACGCTGTTCACTTACCGAGCAACACAATGTATAACGGCGCGTCGCAGCCACACGCGGGGGCTACCCGCGGGCGAAGCGCCATGCGCTCTCCAAGCTGCCCGTCCAAATACGACTGTCCACGCCGATTCGCTTTGCTGGAAATCGATGTCGCCTCACAAACGCGTCACTTCCTAGCTGCCTCGAAATCCCGTCCGACCAATTGGTCCCCGAAGGCGTGAATTCCCACCACGTGGTGATCGAACGGCGGCTCGCCAAGAAATTAGTGAAAGCAATCGACCGATCCAGCGCGGCCGGCACCGCGCAGCCCTTGACGTACGAATGCAGAGAGCTGGTATTGTCTATGAAATACAGCACGCGGCGGTTTGCCAGCCGCTTAGCGTGGCGCTGGTAGATGATGGGCGGCATCGCGCCCTCACACAGCGCGATGGGCTGGCCGCCCTGCCTCAAGCGCTCCTCACAGTAGCCCCACATGCCCAGCAGAGCCCCGTCAAAAACGCAGAAGCCAGCTTGCCGATAGCCGTCGGCGCAATCTAACAACACGTACCCCCCTGTCGGCCACGCGTCATTGTCAGCGCGCGCGTCAGAAGCAATGAGAATCAAAGGCTCGCTTCTCGGCGCGATCTCGGCCACGCGGCTCGGCATGTCTTGCAGAATTATATAAAAGAAATCGAGGGCGCGCACCAGGCAGTTGCTCAGGGTCCAAGGCGGCTGATCTGTGTACTGCCGTTGCCTCAGAGCCCCCATGCCTGCTTTGCCCACGCCGTGCCACGCCGCTCTGGCGATGAAGTTGAGGAGGCCTCTCAACTTGCTGGCGTCTCCTGGGCGTGAGCCTGCCCTCGCTGCGCCTCGCCGCAATGAACGTCTTCGCCTTTTCGACGAGAGTGTCGCGCGCCCTGAAAGATATGACATTCGAGTCCAGCGAAGGGCCGAAGGTGTGCACGACGCCCAGAAAATCGCCGGACGGGCTCATCCTCCTCGTCTTCGAGGGAGCCACAGGCGTGCCCAACTCCGCGCAAAGGCACTGTGCGGCCTCCTGACCAGCGCCCCCAGCTGATTCAAAATCAGTAATATTCGCGTCGTCCACATACATGGCAAGCAAAAGCGACAACACGCGGCGCTGCACTGCCTGCAGGAATCCTCCCCATCGCGCGAACTGCATGACTGACGCGGAGAAACCGAAAAGCAACGCCCACGCCACCTGGAACCTCCATTCTCCCGTGACAGGATCGCGGACCGCCACGACGTTCAAGCGCAAGTGATCTGGGTGCACTGGGACTGAGCGATAGGCCGACGGCAAATCTTCGCCCCCCGACACGAGCCTCTCGCGGGCCACGTCGGCACCAGCGTCCGCACACGCTTGCCGGACCACCCTCGCATCGATGACAGGCTGGAATGGCGTACACATTCTTTGCCGCTCACAAAATGCCGTCGCTTCGTTCTGCCTACCCCGACGCCCGTCGTCGATTCTCCTCCTTTTTCCAGAAGGCTGAATATGGCAAAACGCAGGAATCGGCGCCCACTGCCCCGCGCCGAACTCCGCATCAATGTCCGACTTGCTTCGCAGCGGTGCCGCCCAGCCTTTCTTGCACTCTTCCTCGCAGCTATCCCAGAGAAATTGGCCCTCCTCACTCGCGCGCTGGCGATCCAGTTCCGCCAGCAAGACTTTGGACTCTCCAAGCAGCGAGTGCACGGGCATGGGAGCTTCATACTCGGATGGTTCAAAAGCACCCGTATTCTCCATTACGCCAGTGATGCCAAAGCCGGTGACAAAGCGCAACGCCAGCTTTTGGTCTGGCCACCGCGCGAGCACCACCAGCACGGCAATGAGTCCGGCGTGAATATGCCCCGCCACGGCGCGCACAGTCGGACTCTGCCACTTCAAGAGCTCCGCCGTGAGGGGCTTGCACCGGCGACTAAGCTCTTGCAGCGCGTGCATGCTGCGCAACCGAAACTCCCTCAAGTCGCGCAGCTCTGCGGCGGTGGACTCCGCCGCAAATTTCAAGTCATGCGGAGCAGCAACGTCCTCATCGAACGGCAACTTCCCCCGCTTCGCGAAATCAACCGCGGCGCGGAAATGCTCTTCCTCATCCCGGCTGTGGCCCAGGAGAGGCGGCAACGCGTGCTTGGCCGAGAGCGCCCCGGCCTGTCGCCCCGCCGCGGCTTCCAGCATGGCAGACGTGCCCTGGCCTGCCGTGCTGCCAACTGGTCCAGCGATGCTGCGCTCGTCTAGCCACTTTGCGAAATCCACGAACGGCGACTGATTGACTAGATCTTCCAATGACGGAAAAACA